ACTTGCTCTAATAATTATTCACACCATACATAAATGATGCAATGTCTATAAGTTAAAATAAATCACTAATTTAATTATCCGTCATACAACAAATTCGATTTTATGCATACTGCTCATATTATCACATATGGTATAGATATACGTGTTTCACTAAAAAAAAAAGTATGTCTGACCACATCAGATACAAGAACATATAATTGAAGTGGTAGTTGTGAAGTAAATTGTGCTTTCTCAATCAATGTTTGTTTTAAATTACTGAAAAATTTTTTAAACTATCCAAGTGCAATATTTTTTTTTTATGACATTTTCTTCTTCGCTTTCTCCAAAATAAAAATTCATGGGATATTAAAAAATATGTATAATCAATAATTGGTGAAATTGGCATAAAATTATCCTTGAGGTATCTATGGAAACCAGTCCAGTGAATCTGTATACCCACAAGCAGACACATGGAAAGATGGCTCTGAATTTCAATGATTAAAATGTACTACTAACACATGCACAGGCATTAACCTAAGATATATCCATGATAAACACAAAGTTCAATTTACTCGACTCAATTCTGATTAGACAAAACTAAAGGTGGATTTTATCTTGGATGTCACCATTATGGGTTAATGAGGGCAATCCTCAGAGGCATTATCTGAAGTGATCTATCTCTTTCCTGTCACTGGTATTTCAAATGCAATGAGCTGAAACACTATCCCATTTGTTGTATTTGTAAAGCAAATTATACTCCTATCACATCCACTTCCAGGGAACATTTCTTATCTGTTTTATGGCTGAGAGCTTTCTTTATCATCAAGTATGTCTGGACTTCATAAATTGAGACCTGAACACATCTTCATTAAATTAAGAACACATTCACTTACAGGTCTTGCTTGTAGGCGTCAGAGTAGATGCCTGCCTTCCAGTACTTTTTTTTAGGCGGACGAGGCTCCTGTTTGTTGGTGGTAACCAATTTCTTTTCTCCAGGGTAATCTTTCTTGTTCGCTTTCTTTTTCTGGTCAGTCTTCCCATTAATGCCTTTGGCTCTGTTCCAATAAAAGAATAATGTTACAATAAAATGCATTAGGGAGAGAGACATCTGTTCAGTAAGGCACCAAAACAATTTAAAACAGATATAGTTAGGGACTTCATACTTGAAGAGGATCCCTGGGTCATTCTTCCTTTTCTTGAGTAGATATCATATCACTTGCTATCAAGCATTAAAATCACTCAATATATAGCAGAATTACTGACCAACCCATTCCCGGAGGATATTACCTAGTTATAGTTCTTCTGTTCAAATTCTGGTGTGATTAGCATGTTATAAGTAGGAAGTAAGTAGTGTTTTTTAAGGACAAATTTATTAAATGTTTATATGATAAACACATTAGAACTGTACAGCAGAGGATATTTATTTTCACTGAAAATTATCACTCTCACTGGAATTTTTAAAGCGTCAAATTTTAAACTGAATTAAGTTCGTATTTAGGTTTTTAGTAAATTATTGAAAAAAATTATATTTAATAATGGGGAGCATAGCGACAAGTGATATGTAAATGTACAACATTATTTCCCAATTATGTGTATTTGCAAGCCAAAACATAAACAAAACTAACAATGGCTAGCAAAAAAAACTGAAATCGGGAAACAAAAACAAATGGTATGGGATAATTACTGTTTATCTATCAATACAAAAGTGGAAAGTAGTCAAACCCAGGAAAGAAATCTGAATCTGAGGCAAGAACCAAAACCCTCTTCCAGAGTACTAGAGGGAAAAATAGATCCTATATGTATGTTTTGCATTATTGCATAGATATTATTAGAGTCTCATCAAATCTCATAAGGAAGTACTCATGATGTCACTCGTAACTGAGACACAAACCATGAGAACAACTGGGATAATTTCAACCAGCCTAGGGGGACCAGTAAAATCTCTACACGAACAGTTTCCATTTTGAATATCAGTGTGATGACTTTTGTATGGTTACTAAGAGGAAATAATGTTTCTTTTTAAGTGAATCGTTTCCTCAATCAATTTAACAGGAATAAGCTCTGAAAAGAGTAACAATGTGTGTTACACTGTATCAAGATGATTTTTTTAGAAACTCCCTAAGTAAATGGATAACATGACATGACATTACTGGAACACTATCTGGGCAGCATAATTTAGATTCAATGCAGTTGTAGAATGATTCCCCCCCCCCCCCAAAAAAAAACCCATAAAGAGGCGAAAATTGCAGGAAGGAAGAAGGAGAGTTAAGGGTAATTTTGAGGTTGAATAAGTCTACCCTACCATTTTGCAAGGCTATGCTTCTTGTGAATTTGAAAAAAAAAATATTGGATCCACTGACTAATTTAGTAGCAGCACAAACTCACATAGTTTGAAGAAATAATTAGTGTGTGTCCTACACCAGATTAATTTTTTTACTATAATTATAATGTATTTTTATTTTCACTATTATAATAACTATAATTTAGAATGAAGTTTAATTTACTTTAGATCTATAGAATAAATGTATCAAAGCAAATTAAATGATAACTAAATTCTCAGTTTCCCCATCTCAAAATGGCTGCCAGAATAGTTGTCACCATGGAAACAGGCTCAGGTATTTCAATCCCTCTTATCAATCAAGTGTTTGAGGCAGGTAATCTACTGTTCAGCATAACAACATATTTCAGTGTTGTTTTTAGCAAGTCATAAAATAAATTTTTGGTAAAAAATTGTTCACAATGTGAACTCTGGCATATTTCACCTTTACCAAATTTATATGTTTACAGTACTGTAAAAGGTGGATGTCATTGCATAGCCCATGTACAATTCTGCGTAAACAATACATTTTACTCATTTTGTATACAATTCTATGGAAACCATATTGAATACAATATAGCGAGACACCGCCCCAATAATCCTTGCATTAACTTAATATCTAATTTGTAATTGTCTCATGCGATTTAGAAATTAGTCATAGTTAACATTTACTCCTCACTTGTAACAAAGACTAAAAAAAACAACCTGCCATTTTCAATCAAATCTGACAAAGAAAAAAGAAGTGCATCAAAATCTCAAGATCTCCCAAGTTTAAACAAAATCCATCCACAGACAACTGAGATTCTGTTCCAGATGTGTGCTTAAATTTAATCGGTTCAGGCACGTTTGAGATACAGGTGGAATTTCGCGCACAAACACAAGATCCGGATGGCAGACGAACAGAGGTCTAAACACAAGTCCCTGTTTTTCAGACTTCGTACGAACAGGGAAAAAAAAAATCTGAATTTTTTTTTCACCTGATTAGGAGTGGACAGATTTTTATGTATATTTTTTTTAACCAGTGATTTTAGGTAAGTATTTTTTTATTTACAAGATCTTTGGGCCCCGAATTCAAAAAAAATACACATATATACAAAATCAAAATTTACCGGTAGATGGGAAAATAACTTTAAGAAAACTAACAAAGCTTTTTTGCATTAGTGGGCATGGAAGGTTTTGTAGCTATGCTCCCTGTAGGGTTTCCGATATATATATTGTCACACATTTCTACTCATAGCCCTTCTTGGTTAGATATTCAATTAACACCTTGTCAAGCTTTTACGACATTTTCATTATTTCTCTCCCATAGTAAGTCGAGTAAACATTTCAAGCAATAAATTTATGATATGAAAAGGTGCTTAAAGAGTCAAGATCTTAATAAAGACGATGTGAATCTTGATAAAATCTCATTAAACTATGATTATCAATAAATATTATTATAATTTGTCAACTTTCATGAGTACATGTCAATTTGGACTGATCTCTTTTGGGTAACCCTTGACATGTTTATAAGAAGCATTAGCTATATGGTAATTCCCAGCCTCATCAATCTATCCAGTCATCATAGACTGCACATGCGTATTTACTTGCTTCTTGACTCCCTGGCCCCTATAGGCGATGCACACAAAAGAAAGTGTGCTGATTAATGCATTAAGATATCAGTATGTCTGCATTTAGCCATCAGCAATGATTGATGTCTTCTTCTTCACATGGCGTTAGCAATCGTGATTGGTTAATCCTTACTTTGGAAAAAAAAAGACGTATGGATTACAAGCGATAATAAAGCAGCTAACTCGCCACTATAATATTAAAAGAATAAATCAATTACAAATTCAAAAGAAAAGGTTTTCAATTATTGTGCTTTGGGAAAGTCGTTATTGATATTAAAACTCCCTGATATATATTCAAACACCAAAAAAAAACATAAATGATGATTACCTGGACGTCTTTTTATTCTGCAATTTTATCCGTTTCTTTGGTATTTCTGAGGCACAATCTTTGCGACGTTTTACTGCAGATTTTTGTTTCAGTCCACATAATTTAGCATTTTTTCCTGAAGCTTTTTTCTGGCCTTGAGCTCTCCTCACGACTGTGTTAATAGCGTCGATAACCGAATCGTCACACACAACCTTTCGATGAGTACCTTTCCGTGAAAGCTGCTGTGAAAGATATTCCTCTTCGAGTGATAGCCCACTCTCTGCAACTATGTCTTCCATCACAAAATTTTCATTCGTTTTTTTCTTTTTCTCTTGGGAAGCTTTCTGCTTGAGTTTAGACTTTTTAATAGCCAATCTCTGTCTTTGTAATGCGCTTGACAACAGTTTTCTACTTCTTTGTCTCTTGGCACTGTGTTTAGTCCTAGATTTCACTGGCGGATTGTGTACTTTTTTAGAAGTTTTACCCACCTTCTTGGGTACTTTGTTCTCACTCGAATTACAATAATCCCCAGTATTTGTGCCAAGCAAATCATCAAAACTGTCAACAACTGAAGTCCCTTCAAGCTGTCTACAACCCTTTTGCTTTGAATTGATTTTGGTTGTTTTTTCACTTCCCTTACTCACACAAGATTTAGTCAGGGATAATTTTTTTCCCTCTTCTGTCGTAAATTTTTGTAAACATGCTTCAATAGCTTTATCTATTGAATCCTCCAACTGCTGTTCTTCCTCCGCTTTTGCTCTTTGTACTCGTCGACTGTGATCCCTGATTTTAGAGAGAGGCTCGTCGCTATCTGAACTATCAGAATCAACAAAACCCACATCACCATCATCATCATCATCATCAAAATCACTATCATTAGTATTTTGTGAACATGTATATTTCATGATACATGATTCGATAGCATCATCAACAGTCGTTTTTGATAGATCTGACAAAACAGGTTCCTTTAAAAAACTTTCATTAGCATCTTGCTGCACCAATGATTTATCCAGACTTCCAGAATTCTCAGTTTTCTTTACAGTCTCCTTGCTTTTCTTAGAACCCTGCTTTTTAGCACTCTTAGAGAATTGTTCTTTTGTCGATAAGCTGGGTAATTCACTGCTCTTTTCAACAGTTACGCAATCTTTTTGTTTCAGCTGCTTTAATTCCTTTGTAAAAAATTCACTTGTGAGATTCGCTTCTGCATCATCTACAGAGGATATTTTTCTGGGTCTTCCAATTTTTCGGACGGATCTACTTTTTTCTTTAGTAGAAACACTGTTGAAACGATGTGGCAGATTTAGACGCTTTGGATGTATTCTCCAATGACTTTCTATGTCTACCTCGCTTTCCTCTAGTTTGTAATACTATATTGTCATCTCCTATGTATTTTGCCAGACAAGCATCTATTGCATCATCAATTGCATCTTTTGGGAAGTCATCAATAGAAATATCCTCAATGAAATCCTCCTCAGCTTTTTCCTCATCAAACACAGGATGATCAAACATTTCAGGAAAATCATTAATCTTAAAAGCCTTATCCTTCCCCTCCCACATTCCAGCTTTTTTCTCCTTCCTCTTCAGTTTTTTTTTACTTTTTCTCTTTTCTTTCAATTCCTTCCTCGTGAGAGCCTTCAATTTCATTTTTCTGCTTCGTTTATGTTTTGCTTTCTTGATCTTATGACTGGTCCATGAGGTCAGATGAAGAGGTCTCATGTATGGAAAGCATGTGTTAAGCTTGGCAATGGTACTAAGGTGATTTTTTGGCAGTGTTGTACCTATTCGTCCTTTCATTAGTTTATGCCTATTTGATTTTGAGATTTTCAAGTCCTTCATCTGCACCAGCAGAGAGTCTAACTCAGCCTGAAGAGCTGGGTCAATTTCGTGTATAGGTCTTAAATGCTTGTGTTTCTTCTTATGATGTGACTTGTGCTTCTTGTGGTGTTTATCCTGGAAATGATCAGGATGGGAACCAAATGATGATGCAGGTGCCGATACATCAGACATATCTGGTTCAACTACATCACTAAGAATATCTGAACCTGTTGAAGACATTGCCTTTCTTCGACTGTGTCCTTGTTTATCTACTGAATGATCAGAATTACTGTTATTATCCGTACCAATTCCACTGTCGCTGAAAAGTGTTTCCTCACTTGTACATGTGGTTTCACTCTGAGGTGAGGGAGTTTGCTCCTTTTGTTTAGAATGGATAGGAAAGTCCTGAGGTGGCGCTAAAGGCTCAACTGATGAAAGCCTTTCAAACCCAAAAGTTCTTGGCCGGATAAGTTTTGTAGTTGAGTAAGATTTTTTATTAAAGTCTCTTGATCGTTTCAGTTTCTTGTATCTCCGCATGTAACCATGGTTGAAGTATGAAAGACTAGACTCATCTGTCTGCACAGCGATCTCCTTGAGGCAAATCTTTGGTGGTTCAGTACTGGACGTATTGCTTGCTGTAACGCTAACTGTCTGTGTGCTTGCACTTGAGGCACATGGAGATGTGCCTGAAGTGACTGTAATATTGTCCCTCTTTTCATTCTCGAGCACAGGTTCAACAAAATTAAGTGAATCAACATCTTCAATTTTTCTCTTTTTCTTTCTCGAAGATGTTGGGCTTACAACATTGCCCATTTTCTTTGTGAAATATTCCGATTTGCCAGTTGAACTTTCTTTGTTTTTGATGCGTGACTTTTTAGAGTTTGGTGTTTTCTCTTTTCTTTTTTCAAAATGAGAAGCATGTGGCGAAGACTGAATGGAGAAGAGTTCCTCAGCTGCAAGATTTGGCATACAGGGATCAACAGTTTTTAGGGAGATATCTTGATCAAATTTCTTTTTAGGTCTCCCTCGTTTTCCTTTAGAAATTAACGTTCTTGTTGAATTTTTCTTTTTATTATGCACATCATGTGCAGGTGAAACGGAAACAAATTCATCCCTAATAACATCATTATCAAATTGATCATTATGAAATTTCCTCTTCTTTTTTTTACTTTTTGATTTGGGAGATTGTTTTGGGCTGCTCCTTGATGACTCAACTGTTGCCACTCCATCTAGATTGTTTGATTCCTCTACAGATACTGAGAGGGTAGTAAACACATTGTCTCCATGTTTATCTATCAATTTAGGAGAAATATTGTTTCCTTTTTTTGATTTGGAGTTCCTTACTGTTCGTTTGTGTGGTTTATTTGGCACATTGGAACTTGACTTTGAAGCCGTAACTGCTTCTTCTAGTTCAAGTTCAGGCAATGAGGCTGCTGATGCTGCTGATTCAATAATTTTCTTTCTGCTTTTTACAGGTTTGCTTTTAGTCCTGACATTTTTTGTAATAGTTTTATCTGGCTCAATTACTTGCTCTAGTGTAAAATTCATTAATTTGTCTTCAGTGAAAATGTCTGCGGATTCCGCCACTGCACAACCCTGTTTTGTATCTTTACGCTTCGTGGCAGATTTTGATTTTGTAATAACATCTTCCTTATCAGTTAGTTTTGTCTTCTTTGATTTAGTACCAACACTCGTGCATGTGTCGGAGCAAATGTTTTGGGTTGTAGAGTCTTTGGCAGTAGATGACTTCTTCGATTTTGTTCCCTTAACGTCACTGATATCCTTTGAGGGACTATATTTTGTTTTAGCCTTCGTTCCTGGATTTTCAGCTTGTTTACCTTGCTTAGTCACAGACAATTTTCTACTTCCCTTTGGTGGAGATTTTTTCACAGTATTATTGTCTTTTACTTGGGAAGTTTTTTCAGATGTTTTTCCTTTTCCACGTGATCCTCTACCAGGGTCTTAATTCCATGATGCAAATGACTTTCAGTGGTTGCTGCAGCCTCAGGAACAGGTGCATTTGAATGTTTCTCTACCGCAGGAGTTGATAATTTCTCCTTTCCTTTCCGAACCTTAGGGCTGACTTTCACTGGTTTTGGACTTTGTTTTGGTTGTAATGATGCTTTAACTTTTGGACTGTATCCAGTATGAACACTGTAAGTTGCACTGTTTTTACTTATAGCTGTAGACTTTGATGCACTTTCTGCAACTTGGCATTCAATTTCCTGTTCATCACTTGTGACATTGGGTGTGATATCAGAGTCTTTTTCACTCATAACAGCATCAGCACCAAAATTATGAGCGTAGGACCTATATCCGAAATCTATTGAATCATCCTCCGTGATGACTGGTCCTGTGCCTTCCACATCCTCGCAAATTTCAATGACCATGCCAGTATCAATAGGTATTGGTAAATTAGTACCAGTGTCCTCACCAGTACCTCCACCTACTGTGCCTATCACATCCTCATCATTCACTGTTTCTATGGCACCAGTTGTCATGGTAATGGAGTCACACGTTGACACAGTAAGAAGAGAGTCAAACCCATCTAGACCATCAGAGACTAAACTCTCAGGCGAGTCGATAAACCCGCTGCAAGTTAAATTTTGTGTTCTTTTGTACTCAGGTACAATCATTAATAAGTTATCCATTCTGCTTTCAAGAGTCCTGGAATTTTTAGGTGCACATGTTTGGTGACATGAATCTTTGTTCTTTGAAGTGTTGCTTTTTTCAGCTAATGTCCGTGGTTTCTCCGCACTAAAACTATCATTTGATATTCCAATTACCAAATTACATCCTGGCAATGAGTTCTCAACTGTTTTTATACTTTTCACGTCTTTCTCCTTGCTATGTTTCACAACATCGCTTTCCCTTGTTATCGCTGAACACACCGCCTTCTTGGACCTTCCCTGTAGATGAAACAAGAAAAAAAAATTCAATGAGTAGGAGATTAAATTTTGTTCTGCAATCATAAAATGGCAATTCAATCAATATGAGAAGACGTCAAGATATTCATTATTAATGAAGCGAAAAGAGGTGTGATGTAATACATAAAGAAACCCCAAGGGTTAAATACGAATAAATTAAGGTCAAGAAATGTTTGAAAAGATTAATGTATTTTCCAATATTTAATTTTATATACCGATATGAGGTGTTTTTCACACTCTATAAATTAGACTAATGCATGTAACACTGCAATATTGTCAAATGAAATAGCTTTTGAATTAGGCACACCTGAAACTGATTATGGGCTGTATCAATATATATTAAACTTTAAAGGTGACAGGTCATGAAATCCATCATAGTATGGAAAAGTAAATAGAACATTGTGTCAAATGTGTCTGACGTAAGCACTTAAAATCAATTTTACATTTGTATGTTTTCAAATATTAATATTTTCTACTGATATTCACTCGCAAAAATAATGTTGACTCAAAGTTAATAAAAAGACAAAATTCATTGTTTAAATATAACAGATAAATGGATGGGTAGATTAAGTTGAAGCCTTTAGAAGCTTTATCGCACATGCTGCCATATTTGGTCAAACCCTCTAGAATGATGTCATTCACTCAAGCGGCAAAAAATAACTCATAATCCTGGCAGTATGCCACCACTGTCTCGTTTACTAACACAAAATAACACAGACCAGCAAAAAAGTTAGATCTATGATAATAATAATCATATAACAATACATATGGGTCAGTTTGTGTTTCTGGTTAGTAGGATAGAAATAAATGAATACACAATGAGCTTTAAATATTATTAAAGTCGCTTAATGCACACAAATTTAAATTAAAGCATTTGAAGTTGATTTTGCAATGAGGCCTGAGAAATAATCTTCAATAATAGGCCATTTTCAGTAACAGAGTGCGAGAGAGAAAGGAAAATAGCACTATTAAAGTAAATTGCATTTCTGTTTTCATAGGATTCCACTCATTGGTAAACATGCCCTCTGTACTCTTAAAATATTGATGACAGCTACAGCACAGATTAGAGAATAATTGAATTGTACATGGTACATTGAACGCTTTAATACTGTATTCATACATCTGGGCCACTTTTCTGTTGTTATGAAAATAATCACGAGTAGTGAGGTAAAAGCATTTAAAACCTACGGCATCCAAGGCAATTATAATTGTCCTATATGACAAAAACCTACAAAAACATACTATTTCCTTGCCATGGTAATTTATACCAAGAGTGATAAATCACTCACTAATGGAAGGACTCTAGATAACACACATTGAGCCCATTAATGGCACTATATTATCTTCAAATAATAACAATTACGCAAGCAAATGTTAAAATTCATCCATATTCCCCCTCATAAAATATACAAGATTTTTAAATGAGACAATTTCGAAGCAAGATGACACATATTTGATTATGAAAAACCAATAGACATTGTTTTTTTAGTTTAGCATTATAATTTCTCAAAATTCATTTTTCATTTTAATTTTTAAAAAAATAACAAATACTTAAAAAAAATTCATAGTTTAGCCACCATGAAATTAAATCAAACTGAAAAAAATTGGATTTTCAAAATCTAAATCATGTCTCTGCCATAGAATACTAACAAATTGAGTTAATAGATGCGGTTTTGAAGTGACCTAATCCAAATTGACATAATCATCACAACATGTAATGTATGTATGCACCTTATAATAAAAATAGATATGATTTAAAAAAAAAAAAAGCATGTCTGAGCAGGAAATGATGATAAAGAGCTTTTGAAACACCAATTTTCTTTTACTTTAAAGTGGATAACTATTTTACTACTAAACATGGGTTTACAATGATTAATCACAATACATGCAAATAAAATAAAAGCAATAAATAAAAGACATGTGCATTACTGAAAATGGTCCATTGAAAAATGATGAAGATAGCGTTGTAGGATTGTTGTAGCTGATCATGAAGTTGTCAACTATGAAGATCAATTTTTAGTCCGTCAATATGCTAAACTGATTAACTCGTCATGCAAGCTTACACCGACATTTGAATCTTGATTTTTTAAATTTAGAACAGGCAATATTAAGACACGAAAAAACCAGACAATAATGTTATAATAGTCTGACATGTACATCAATCTAGGGATCATCAGTGATACCTATAACAGGGCACTCGCGTGTAAAAAGAAATGATTACCTGGTTGTTCTACCTACTGCATGTTAATCAGCCCTAGCCTCCGGGAACAACAAATTGGTGTTAGAACACAACACAGAAGTTTACATGCATCTACAAAGACCTTTCATAATAATTTATTATTATTAAATACTGCCTCATAAGGAGGTTATTTTAGCGATACACAAATAAAGGCTGTTCAATAAACTTGTCAGTTGCTCTCCTCGAAAAACAATTGTTCAATCTTGATAAACATTTGAGCTGATGAAGAGAAGGAAGAGATGCCAAGTCGGTTGCTATAGCAACAGAGTGATGATAATAGGTTGGTATAGCAACTGACATGTGGCTTGTGGGAATAAACCAAGTAGAAGCAAGACCCATATAATATTTCAGTATAGATTTAAAAATCTATTGTGTGATTCTTGTGATAGCCACTCTGATATTTATTGCCTGTTTTATTGTGGTAAACGTCAAGAGATTTCCCCCGATTTTTTTAAAATCGTGATATTATATTAGCTAAACACAGATGATACTTCCAGTGTTCCTTGAATAGAGGTTAGATATGCTAGTCTAGAATTTCACAAGACATTTCTATGCGATACACACCTTTTAAAATGATGACGGCTCTGACACAGTCAAGCCCTTTATACAAAACTTGATCTTTACAAAGCAAGATTCTAGAAGCAGTCACTAATAGTATCTCTATTATGCCATGAACACCTCCCACAGAGCCGCACATATTTACCTCCATGTGCATGGGACTAATATTGGAGGCACACTTCAGGTACACAGTACAAAACGATAATTATCAGCGAAGTGGCTCATTAAGAGTCAGCAAGAATTAAGATTACACAAATTTACCCTACCTGAGGTGAGGTATGTTCAACGTTTAGTGGCGCGCAGAGAGAATGACAGCACATGTGCTACATAATTTGCAAGCAGCAGTGTTATCCACCCCACTTTAGCACAAGAAGCTGTCAGCCTATCACAAAACACTCTGCTATCACGGAATCATTTGTGTACGTGTGAGGTGGCAGGGTCAGGGTTCAACAGCCTTAGTCTTTCAACTACACCATTCCTGTACTGCTATTGGTTGCATAATTAATTGCCCGCTCACATCCCCCATTAATACCTTGCATTCAAGCTGAGCACCACCAACTGGGGATTTCACGCAGGATTATAGGCTTACAATCCAAGAGTTAAAAAAAAGAAGAAATAAAAAGAAAACAACCGAGTGTAATGTAGAATTATTTAGGACAGATATCAGAGTGAGCTGTTAGAGCATATAATATACTGACATGAATTAAGGGCAAAGGTCAGATTGGCACTATATTCCTAGAAACACCTACACAGAGTGAAAAAAAGCCGAAAGCTCATTACGATTTCTACTGATTATTTCACAGATATGGCAAAGTTATTCAGGGCATAATGGCAATGTTATTATCTATAAAGTATTAAATTTTAATCTGCACACAAACGAGAGAAGCGGATCATGTGTGAAATGCTTAAATTTGGCATTGACGATAAAACGTCACATGATAACGTACATTCTGATAAAAATATATTCAATAATCCATACGCTAGGTCAAGGTAAAGAGTGAGATTTCGCTGAAATAATTTGCAGCTAATTTATATTCATTGGGGATTGTGTTTTTTATTATTATTAAATTAATGACATTATTAATGCTAACAATATGAAAATATTGCTAGAAAAATGACTAAGAAAAATAGCTGACCATTAACATCAGTTTTTAAAGAACTGAATGAAGAAGAATTTATTTTTTTAGCCAACCATAGAATGTTAAGAGAAAAGAATTGGAGGGATGAAATCACTAACAAATGTATGAATAGACTGAACTGCACTAGATATCTGGCATGCTTTCCTATATGCACATGCATTAAATTCGCTAATACGAGATGCCATTAAATACAAATTCCTATACCCAGAGAATAAAATATATTCACGACACATAAAATTTTAGCAGGCTAAAATAAAGTACTATAAATCCGTGCTAAATTTAGAAATGTAATGGTAACTACTTTAGCTTCAGATTATGTATATGTACAGTAAATATCAGACACATAAAATATTTGTTTTGTTCAAACTGCAGATTTCGTTGTAATATTAGTTGAGATGTCTAATAAAAGATCAGCATCATTTCCCGAATTAAACATGGCACAAATACAATTTTAAGATTTCAACTGAAAACAATATTGAGTGCACACAACCAAGGCAATTAATAATTACTGTCTACTGTACTTTGCACATAGGCCTTTTAAAGTTGCATTCTTCAATGCAAATCTGTGAGGTAGCATCCTCTGACCAATATATACACATCAAATGTTGAGATTATGGATAGGTTGTGAGAAGTAAACAACTGAATTTGAATTTAAGCAATTATCATAAAATGAGGTAGTCTTGTAAACAAACATTCGCTGAGTTAGAAGGCTTTTTTTGTTCATACATTGTAGGTATCTTAGTCTATTGGATAATACCCTCCATTAGTCACAAAATAAAATAAGAGAGACAGTAAGGACAGGATATCTGCTTTTAATAGATTATTTTTTTTTTTTAATTAGAAAACATTTCATGTTTTTATGTTGTTCTGGGAGTGAAATTTTACATATTTCCAAATTCAATGATGTAATCAGATATTCACATTTAAACAAACTGCACTGCAGCAATGAGCAATAACGTTTTTTAAATTATGTTCCATCCTAAAATAACCATGGATGATTGGACAGATTCATTTAATATTTAGAATGCAAAAATCAAGTATACTAA